ACTCTTTTTGTACTTAATCAAAAGCTTACCACTAATCAATAGCTTTTTATACTTAATGAACTATCAAAAACCACCACCTGTTTTTGAGAAATATTTTATTAAACAAACACTATTATTTTTTCACACACACAGTATAATCTCCACCAAGAAGTTTGTGTACTATTTAGAGGTGTCCACTATTTGGAGGTACATGCCAGTGGCCATATTGTATTTTAACCTGGATAATACAAAGTGAAGAATACAATGGACTGTGAAAACATCAAATTTGCATTAGAAATGTGAAAATACCAAAAAGTATACATAGCATATATAATTAAATATATACAGTATATTATTTATCTTTTCAGCTGTAAAAAAAAAATCAATTTTAATTGAATTCTAAATAGCAAACAGATTGTATATGATACTTCATAATTAAATGGACAAAACGTAAATGTTGATTAATTATTAATTCATCAAAAACAACCTGAACAGATGTAATTAAGAAAAAGAAAAAAAAAACTTATGAACAGAAGGGTGAACAAGGTTTAGGCAGTGAGAGTTTAAATGTCAAGATATGAAGGTGATTTGCTAGCTACTTCAAGAGGTAAGAAATGTATTTGGTATTCTTGCATTTATAATGTCATTTATGATCTAAGTGACTAATAAAAATTGATATCTTATCTTCATTCTTCACACTGATTATTGGTTGTAAAGAGTCTTATTTTATATTTATCGCAGTGTGGTATACAGATATGAGATTTGTCTACTTTGTAGTTATTGAGGTGGTTTAATTTTTTGAGCATTTCTGCTTTTTCAATAAATGATTTGTTAAAAATTACAACTTTAGCCACTAGAAAGCTGTTAAGATCATAAATTACATCATAAATGTGAAAAAACAAATATCTTCCTACACTTTAAAGTGGTTGGCAAATTTTGTAATACAATCTTTGAACTTTCACCAAATAAACACTGTCGTCTTAATCTCAAAACTTTATTTTTCATTACTACTGTACTATGGTTCTTGTCAAATGAATGAATAACTTTGGAAAAAGTTTATTGTTTCTTGATACCATAAGCTTAATTCCAACAATAAGACAGAAGTTTAACATTAATATGTATTGCAATAAGTGATTATTGACAACTTAACCAGATTAGTCTTCTCTAACAGATAAATATTATTGTTTCACTTTTTACAACTTGCCCTCTTCCCCTATTCCTATTTTAAGATAGTCTTTATTTGGTGCCTACAATCAAAATTTGTCTGCTGAAAGAGTATTTAAACTGACTCTTTGTTTATTTGATTCTGACAGTTTTAAAATATTTTGTACATAATTAATTCTTTCAGAATATTGAAGGTGGAACTTCGTGTTTTCTTAAGGTAAGTTATGGACAACAGCATCTGCTATTTAGATGTAAATATTATAGATGTTCTATTTGAAGGGTTCTAGGGATTGTAGAAATGTCCATTAAGAAAAGGTGTCTGCTATTCAGGAGTGTTCGCTGTATATATACAGTACTGGCATTAATTCTGGACACTTAGTAGTTTTTAAATTTTCCTTATACTCATGTATTTCATACTGCATTTAATATTATAACAACAGGATGGTGTGTTGTAATGTTTTCTGTTGAATTTGACAACATACTTTTGGAAAACTTTAGTAAAATTATTTAGTAAAACAACAGTATTACAAGAATGCTTTATTTATAAGATTTCATATGAAATACATACCATGAAGTAAATCAATTTATTTTTAATATTTTGTTGAGCCCTCTTTTCCTTTTATCACTACCTTGATTCTTTGAGGCATTGAATCTACCTGAGACCTGAGATCTTGTGATGTGATCACCTTGAACCAAGTTTGGATGATGGCTTCTATCAACTCCATTTTGTTACTAGGATTTCAGCATGACATCAACACTTACAGCCTGGACTACAGCTTTTTCTATTGAATTTAGGTCAAAACAGTAATATTTTGGTCCCTGAATACTTACACAATTTCTGGCCAAATAAGATGGTGCTCCATCCTGCTAAAAGATTCATTGGTGATGGTTGCCTTCAAACAAATCCTTGATAATGAGCAGTAGTTTTTCCTTCCATCTCTGTTTCCTGGTATTTTTTTTTTGCATTAATTTTGCCATCTATGACAGTAAGACATCCAATACCATATCTGGCCATGCAAGCCTACACCATTACACTCACAGGATGTTTCATGGCAGCCAGAGTGAACTCAGGCAAAAGGTCTTCACTAGCTTGGCAAGAAACAAACTTCACTCCATCACTTCCATAGATACAAACTTTTGTCTTGTCGCTCCAAATACTCATTCCTTATGATCTAGAGCACACTCAATACATTTCTGCCTCTGATTTTGTTGAGGTAAGGATTCTTTCTTGGTGTCCCTTGCTCAGACTATTGTCAGGCAACTTTTTTCTAATGGTTCTGTCAGCAATTTGCATGCCAGATGTCTATTGATGATCTGTGATGGTCTTTCAGAGACGAACAACATTCTGCACATAAACATCTTTAAAGCTAAGTATTCTTACAATATGGTACAAGGACTTAAAAAAGTTTGCCAACCCTGGTATCTCAAACAAGTGAGACAGACTTAATGAAAGTTTTACTCATTATTGACATTTGCAATATTTTTTTAAACTCACCCCTAACCTCAAAATAAGGCCTTTTCATTTTCTTTTTATAACGTTTAGAAATTATAACTGAAAATTATTGGCTCCTTTCTGGTTCTCTTAAACTTTCTGTTTGAATGCTGTGAAAAGTTGTGCAAGAGCTATAACCAATTTTTTATTTTATTTTTTATCATCATTTAATGTTTTAAATGATTAATACAAATAAAAACAAAATTAGATTTTAAAATGTTTTAGAATATGAAATTTAAATAGTAAGAAAATAAACCTAAAAATTTTACTACCAGAAGATGACAGAGTGAGAAGTAAATTTATTAATACTGAAAACAAAAAATACTGATTGTGTATAGCTTTGAAGCAAATTTATCTAAGGTAAAAGTCAAAGTCAAAACAAAATTAAAATACAAATTTAACTTTAATCTATGCTAATATTATAAAGAGGTAATGTTTGTAAAAGTAAGTATGTAAGTAAGTTTGGATGTAGCAGGTAATCTCCGAAACTACTCATCCGATTTCAAAAATTCTTTCACCAATATTTAGAATGGACTTCAGGGTGGACATAGGGTGTATATTATTCCGTTAAACATTCATATAAATTAAATGATATCATCTATGGTTAAGGCTTTTATGTCCAACAGATGGCGCTACGAGTATGATGCCCTAAGTTTGCTTTTCTGTGAAAATGAACTAAAGATCATCTTCTATTTATTTATATAAATAAAAATGTAATGTTCGTTTGTTCCTACAGATTCCTTTGAAATTTTGACACAACGCTGCATNTTGCAAGCTCTTGGTGTATTATATTTGCTACTTGATTGTGTCTGTGTAAGTAATCTGTCTGTGCCAAGAGCTTGCAACCAGATGTAATGTGTTGTACAGTTTCTTGCATGATGTGACACTTTCTGCATGTGTCATTTGTGAGTGTTGTATCTTTGAGTATGTGTTTTCTGTAGTTTTTAGTTTTTATGACCTGCTCTTGTATGGCAATCGTAAATCCTTCCGTCTCCCCAAAGAGGCATCCCCAATCTAACCAGCTGTTTGACGCAGTTTTGTCAACAAAATCCTGGGCCAGGTCATAAGGATGCCTGCCATGGAGTGCCTTTCGAGCCCACGATTGCTTGATGGTGTCTATGCTTATTATTATTATTATTATTATTATTAAACAGACATCAACACCCGTGAGCAAATTTATTTTACATTTAATTTCTTAAAATACATAAAAATGCATGGCTTGTAATAAAGAATAAACGAACATCATCTCATAAGTGCTGCAGCACTTATGAGATAACACTTGAAATACAAGCATAAGAAGCATAACAACTGTGATAAAAATATATAAATAAAGCTTGAAATTAATAGAATATGTAAAAGTTCACGTCACACCTTACACCTTGTGATGGCACACCGGTTGCGGAACACTGACCTAGGTGAACATCTGCCAACAAAACAAAGCCGAAAGTAATCCATGATTTTTTTTCTGTTGTTGATTGTTTGAAATAATAGAAAAAATATATTATTTCAACCACAAATGTCATCTTTATGATAAATATTTAGATATTCATCATAAAGATGAATTCATTGTGCCAAAAAATCATAAAAATTTCAAACTGCAGATAGCCTTGAAAGAAGGAACTTTTTTTGCACAAAAAAAATTAAAAAGTAGCCAAACCTGTCATCACTGTATGCACTTCCCAATATGCAAACTAACTAGCATACATATTTGCATGAAACTTCATCCATTTAAAGGGGTATGCCCTTAAACTTTAACCCCTATTTTATGAATTTAGGAAAATGGTTCACTAATATAGATGTTTAAATTGCTCTATAACTTGATTTCAAACCCATCTTTTGTTACTAGAAGAAAGTGTATTCTACTCAAAATGGAAAATTTATTACAGTTCTGTATTTTATTGTTCACTTCAAAAAGTGTAAAAAGCAACCATAGTTGGAAATAGGATTATTTCTTGGGGATTGTAAAGGTAATTTACAGTTTGGTATAACAAATTCTGGTAAGATTTTTGTTTTCTTTATTGCATGAAAATTAACATTGTGTCAGACAATGGAATTTTGCCAGGGCAATGGCAAAAATTTGTTTTATCAGTGTTTAAGGCAAGTTAATTGTATTTAAATTGATGAAATTCTGGGATAATGTCTGAATGATTGAGGACTTTAGTAATGTTTATTTTTCCACAAATGTATCAATAGTCTATTGAATTTTTACCAAAAATGTTTTTTTCAATAAATATATTGATGTAATTTTGATCTGTAGCTTAATTATTGGACGGTCCTTGTACAATATAATATAATAATCTTGCTCTTAAAAACTGTTAGTTGATATTACAATATAATTTATCATTTATATTTATATTTTTTGCAGGTGAAGATATTAGTTCCTAATAGTACAGCTGGAATGATTATAGGAAAAGGAGGAAGTTATATTAAACAAATTAAAGAAGAAAGTGGTGCTTATGTACAGATATCACAGAAGTCAAAGGACCATGCTTTAACTGAACGTTGCATTACTGTGATAGGTGAAATGGAAAATAATAAAAGAGCCTGTGCCATGATTTTAGCTAAAATAGTGGAGGATCCACAAAGTGGTAGTTGTCTAAATGTAAGTTATGCTGATGTCACAGGACCTGTAGCTAATTTCAATCCAACTGGTTCTCCATTTGCAAATCCTGGTAGTGTTCCTGGAAGTGGAAGTACTATGAATAATAGTAATGCCAGTTACAGTTCTAATGGCAGTCTTAACAGTCTTAGTCCTACAGTAAACAACAGTTTTAATAATCCTCAGACTGGTACAAATCCTGCTGGACTCTTACAGTTTTCAGGTGTTGGAGTTGGAATGGGTGGCCCAGGAATGCAACCTGCGAACATTGCTCAGCTTATTGAGAATATAAAAGTGATGCTACGAGGTAGTGGCTATTCAGAACATGCTACTGCAGAGATAGCTGCTGCTATGAACACATTAGCAAGTTATAATGTGCTAGGATTAGGTCTAGCAGGACTTGGAGGATTATTAGGCAGTATAAGTGGTACGCCTGTGATAGGAAGTCTAGGTATGGGAATAGGAAATTCTGCTGCTAATAGTTGTCAATTACCTCCAGGTAGTATTTCAAGTCAAGGTATGTACACATCAACATCTGGCATTCCTGGCATGGAACCAACTTGCAACACTGTAGCTACATCAGGCCCATTACCACCTGGCTCTAGCATGTTTGGACCAATTGGAAGTTTAGGAGCAGGTGGATTAGGACTGGGACCAGGTTTTAGTTCTCCAACTGCTACACGTTCTAATGATCGTTATCCAATGCATGTTGATGGATCAGTATTTGACCCATTTCATCGTAATTCACCTGCACTGGGATCTCCAGCAGCAGCTGCCTTACCAGTAAATAATAATTCATTTGGATTAGGTATTGGCTTGAACTCTGGTCCTGTTGGTGGATGTAAAAGTCCAACTCTAGGTGATGGCCAAGTAGGTGAAACAACTAAAATAGAAGTAGAAATAGGTGAAAATATTGTAGGAGCCATCCTAGGACCAGGTGGTAAGTCACTTGTAGACATACAACGTTTCAGTGGTGCCAGCATCCAGATATCAAAAAAAGGCATCTTTGCCCCAGGTACACGTAACCGCATCGTAACCATTACAGGTACCCCAAGTGCTGTTGCCAATGCTCAGTATCTCATCGAGCAACAGATTGCTGATGAAGAAGCCAAACGAGCACGACAGAATTCAATCGGAGTTCTACGCTAACTAGTGTCCACCTGTAGCAATTCCATTGGTCTTTCTATATCTCATCTGCCTGCAGCCAGTAACCTGCCTCCTGCCACTGACCAATGACTGAGCTCAATGGGGTGTTTTCTGGTGTGTTTTCTCCTGTGTGTGGAAAACTTGCTTCAGAGACCTAATGTACTTTGTTATTGTTAAATGTGACTGAATAATATAAATCATAATGTAATATATACATACAGATTATATATTGCTTTTGCAGACTAGCCATTTAGTTTCAATCCATGCAAGTTTTGATCTTCCTAGCCCATGGCAGAATTGTTTTTATTTCACTTAAGTTTTCACACACTCACTAGTTAAGATAGAGATACTAATACAGGTATAATAGTAAGATCTGTTGTATACTCTTTCATTACTTTGTTATCCATCAACCTCTAATACAATGTAAATGTTACTGTTATCTTAGAAAAATATATGAATAGTTATCATTAACAAAATATTTTTTAGTGTTAGTTTTGTTGTTGACAGTTGAAATTTTTTTGATGCAATATCTTATTTACAATAGATTATTATATTATATTATTATTATTATTATTGAAATTATTACAGTTTAGATTGAATTTTATTCTCTCTTGATAAAATCAGTTTTCTATATTTAAATTAGTTGTTGCTCAGAAAATTGTGCACTATATAAATTAATTTTTTTCATATTATTTTATTTTTTATCTGTTTCCAAGTCCATTTCATCAATGCACATGTAATTTATGAAATTATGCAGATATCTAGTTCAAGAACTTTATGGAATACAAAACAAAACTGGAATGATCTACACACATTATACATTGATGTCTTAAATACTTCATGTATCACTTTATTCTGTAACTGGTGTCAGTGGCAATATTTGTGTTATTTTATCTCAGCACCATGCTACATTTCTATTTGTAGTTTCATATATAATTAGATACTGAAATTGGACAGATGTTCCTCTTTGTGGTATAACTGATCTAGTATGTATATGCATGGCTTTGTAACTAAAAGAAACAGGAAAAAAAAAATTTATATTGTTCAATTGCTGACTTTGCTCCATTATCTTGCTGGTTGTTGACTAATTTCACACTGGTAAAATTTTGTCATTCATTGTTACAAAGTATCAAGCATTCGTATTGTATTTCTGTAAGTCAGGTTTGAATTTATGCCTGCCTTGCACAAATCTTCATGGTGTTTTGTACGCTCAGGGGACTGCATCTTCCTCAAATTGGGCTTACTTCATTCAAGTAAACATTTATCATCAGGCATAAGAATAATTCCATATCAACAGTGATATAAAAAAGCATGTTAACACAAATTGTCTTTAACTTTGTGTTTGTAATTTAAAAAATTATTTCATTTTAACTTGTGATTAAATCTGTTATATTCTTAATACCTGTATGCTTGTGTATGAAATCTGTTTTTCCATTTTTTTTTTCCTTAGAAACTCCAATCATAATAAAGAAAAAGGCTATCCCAATGGAATATATGTGATATTTAAATTCTGTAAAATGTATAAAATTATATTCCACTACTAGAACAAAGTAAATCTTAATTTCATATTATTGGGCTTATTCCTACATGTTTTTTTCACTTCAGTTTTATCTGAAGTGTAAATTTTCATTCTTTTTGGTGTTTGGTTGCTGTAAGTTTTTACGTTCCTATATTTTTCTGAATGCACTCATAATAATTACCAATAAATTTTGTAGAACACATAGGTATGTTTATGTATATATAGAAATACTTCATAAAAAGCATAAAAAATTGCATAATACATAAAGTACATAACACAAATGGTGCAAAGTTTATAAAGCTACACAAAATAATTCATAGTCATGTTTCCATTTGATTTTTAGTGATTGAAAATTATTTAAGAATGTCTTTCCAGTTTTCATAAAAGAAATCTCGATTTTCATGTGGGCTGTTATTCTTGTGAAGTATATTTCATTGTCATTTATAGACCATTCACAGTGAAATTTAACTATGTATTGAGTTATATCTTCCATTAAAAAGCATCTTGTGCAAAGGTGATTGCCTTAGATAGTGCCAGGATTTGCATTTCACCAGTCCATGTATTGTAAAATTTTACTATTGATACATTTAAAAGGGCACATTTCTGACCAATATTGCATCATCTGATTTCAATAGTATGCAAAATTGTTTCTTATTGATATAGATTTAATTCTTTGTCATTATCTGCATCATAACAGCTTGTATTTAATTAAACTTTCATATATTCATTTAAGATGTATTGAATCTTGCATATTTACATTTCAGATTATAGTTTTTGTTCTTAATTTTAAATTGTCACATAAGTAATAAATTGAGAATAATTATAACTGCAATAATGTACTTGAGGAAATATTAAAATTACTATGCATAATTAACTAAAATATCTATAATAAAATTTCAAATTATTTGAACATTTTTTTCCTCAAACTTGTAAAACAAATAGAATCAGTTCTTAAATATTTAAGTTTGTTTAGTTATTAGTGCCCAATCAATTCAGGTCACAATAATATACAGAAAGTTTTTAAATATTTACATAAGAGAGAGAATAATCTTTGTTTTTAATGGAAATTGGTTAGCACTCGAGAATTTGATTCCATTAATGACTGCTGTGTTTTTGATGTAGTTTTATTCTTCATGTATTTATTTATAGAAATTAATTTTGTAATTTCTTGTTTGGGATCTTTTCTATTGTTATAACTGAAATGTGCAAATTGAGTGCTTGATTATCATTAATATAATTGCTCATACTTTGAATTGAAATATACAAATGCTTCATAAATCTTATTGGCTCTTTGTTTCACATAAATATTCAAAAGTCCACCTTCTACTCACAAATAATTAGTTCCTAATGGGCAAATATCTTTTTGAAGTACCCCATTTCATTTATAATGATTGACTCATCTGTTGTTCGAATGTTCTGTACAGATTACTTCTGTAATTAAAAAGCTATTAAATTTCATTCATGTTGAAGGTTGTGAACATATAACAGCAACCAACTTTTCATTGACTATATGGAGGAGTATTGCATAAAATGTTCCTCCCAGCATTGAGCCTAAAAACAATGCTGTTCTCCAAAATTTAATTCTACATGGTCAATGTTTTTTTTATGTTGTTTTGCCATAAAGTATCAAAAATTATTATGTATTGTATGATTTCATATGAATTACAAAGCAAATATAAAATACGAGCTATTATGTTAAAAGCAGCAATCTTTCACCAGTACTAACAATATCTTGCAACNTATTCTTCATTGAATTTTGTATATAAGTTATTTTTATATATAAACTAGCAGACCCTGCCATGCGTTGTTGTGGCTCAAAATGTATCTATTATAAATGTATAACACTTCCCCTGTGGGGGAGGCATTTTTCTAAAAATTTCTTTAGTGTACATTCTCTTGACATACCCTATTAAAATGCAATCAAAAACACAAAAACCTGCATCTAAAATAGTATAAATAGAAGCAGAGTTCTTTACCGTAAGCCTTAATCCTAACCATCTCCCTTCAGTGGGGTTGAATTTCGACATGTATATTATATAAAAACGTTGTGTCAAATGCGAATGCAGCATTGTGTCAAAATTTCAAAGGAATCTGTAGGAACAAACGAACATTACATTTTTATTTATATAAATAAATAGAAGATGATCTTTAGTTCATTTTCACAGAAAAGCAAACTTAGGGCATCATACTCGTAGCGCCATCTGTTGGACATAAAAGCCTTAACCATAGATGATATCATTTAATTTATATGAATGTTTAACGGAATAATATACACCCTATGTCCACCCTGAAGTCCATTCTAAATATTGGTGAAAGAATTTTTGAAATCGGATGAGTAGTTTCGGAGATTACCTGCTACATCCAAACTTACTTACATACTTACTTTTACAAACATTACCTCTTTATAATATTAGCATAGATTAAAGTTAAATTTGTATTTTAATTTTGTTTTGACTTTGACTTTTACCTTAGATAAATTTGCTTCAAAGCTATACACAATCAGTATTTTTTGTTTTCAGTATTAATAAATTTACTTCTCACTCTGTCATCTTCTGGTAGTAAAATTTTTAGGTTTATTTTCTTACTATTTAAATTTCATATTCTAAAACATTTTAAAATCTAATTTTGTTTTTATTTGTATTAATCATTTAAAACATTAAATGATGATAAAAAATAAAATAAAAAATTGGTTATAGCTCTTGCACAACTTTTCACAGCATTCAAACAGAAAGTTTAAGAGAACCAGAAAGGAGCCAATAATTTTCAGTTATAATTTCTAAACGTTATAAAAAGAAAATGAAAAGGCCTTATTTTGAGGTTAGGGGTGAGTTTAAAAAAATATTGCAAATGTCAATAATGAGTAAAACTTTCATTAAGTCTGTCTCACTTGTTTGAGATACCAGGGTTGGCAAACTTTTTTAAGTCCTTGTACCATATTGTAAGAATACTTAGCTTTAAAGATGTTTATGTGCAGAATGTTGTTCGTCTCTGAAAGACCATCACAGATCATCAATAGACATCTGGCATGCAAATTGCTGACAGAACCATTAGAAAAAAGTTGCCTGACAATAGTCTGAGCAAGGGACACCAAGAAAGAATCCTTACCTCAACAAAATCAGAGGCAGAAATGTATTGAGTGTGCTCTAGATCATAAGGAATGAGTATTTGGAGCGACAAGACAAAAGTTTGTATCTATGGAAGTGATGGAGTGAAGTTTGTTTCTTGCCAAGCTAGTGAAGACCTTTTGCCTGAGTTCACTCTGGCTGCCATGAAACATCCTGTGAGTGTAATGGTGTAGGCTTGCATGGCCAGATATGGTATTGGATGTCTTACTGTCATAGATGGCAAAATTAATGCAAAAAAAAAATACCAGGAAACAGAGATGGAAGGAAAAACTACTGCTCATTATCAAGGATTTGTTTGAAGGCAACCATCACCAATGAATCTTTTAGCAGGATGGAGCACCATCTTATTTGGCCAGAAATTGTGTAAGTATTCAGGGACCAAAATATTACTGTTTTGACCTAAATTCAATAGAAAAAGCTGTAGTCCAGGCTGTAAGTGTTGATGTCATGCTGAAATCCTAGTAACAAAATGGAGTTGATAGAAGCCATCATCCAAACTTGGTTCAAGGTGATCACATCACAAGATCTCAGGTCTCAGGTAGATTCAATGCCTCAAAGAATCAAGGTAGTGATAAAAGGAAAAGAGGGCTCAACAAAATATTAAAAATAAATTGATTTACTTCATGGTATGTATTTCATATGAAATCTTATAAATAAAGCATTCTTGTAATACTGTTGTTTTACTAAATAATTTTACTAAAGTTTTCCAAAAGTATGTTGTCAAATTCAACAGAAAACATTACAACACACCATCCTGTTGTTATAATATTAAATGCAGTATGAAATACATGAGTATAAGGAAAATTTAAAAACTACTAAGTGTCCAGAATTAATGCCAGTACTGTATATATACAGCGAACACTCCTGAATAGCAGAC